GGGATCCGTGGCCGACGCTATCGGAGTAGTCGGCCACCGGAAAACGAGATCGAGAAAGTTGGACTCGAGAGAGAAAAATCGCCTCTTGTGGCTAGGACAAACCTATTTTTAAGGGGTTTTTGGATTAGACTTTATATTATATTTTTTTTTTTTTAAATTATCAAGCAAAATCACCCTTGATTTGTTTCCAAGTAAGTAAGGTAGAATGGTTCCACGTCTCATAAGAATCCAGAAGAAAAAAGACATTCTATCATTGATGGAGGCAATTGATTTGAACTTAATTACATGTCGTAATACAAACAAAAGTGTTAAATATATGCCTGCCACCATAATTAGCTGGGCCTTCATTGTGGAACCATTTACATGATTTGATGCTTTAATACATACATATATTTGCATGATCTCATACCGGTTCGGTTTAGCTTATTGGAGTACTAAGTAAATTGGAAAAATAAAAAGAATAAGAGGGCGGGAAAAGGTGAGAAAGAATAAAATCATAAGATCATTGCATTTGAAAATTCTTTGTATTTTGCCAAATTGGCTAGGTAATAATTTTTCCGAATTCTAAGTTTGTTTGTTTTTGTTCATCGATTGCTGTAACTAAATATGTATTGGATATCGTTTTGTTAGAAACGAAATTAAACAAACAACTTTAGACTTCGATAACACAAGGGTTGATGCCTAGTGGTAACATAACGAAGTTGGTTCTCTTATGTTCCGGATTCAAATCTTCTTTAGGACGGTGAGTTATTCTTTAAATTGGAATTTCCAAACACTTTCTCTAGGTACTGAAGAGATTATGAGCCAAAAGTTCTGTACTCCCACGGTTTATAAAAAAAAAACTTTAGACGTCGGACAAATGTCTCTTTTGTTCGTTTTTTTTGAAACTTAAAATGTCTCTTTTGTTCTTCGAATGTAATTTGATTACTTACTGTTTTGTATATATATTAAATATTATTGTTTGGTAGATTTATAAAATGGCAAATACCAGGCTTTCTACGGGTTTTATGAATTATTAATCCGGATTTTAGTCTGGAATTTATTCCGGTTATATAAAGAATACGAATCTGTGTATTGTAGAGATCATGCATGCATGGACCGAGAACAAAAATACTTCCCAAGACATTAGAAAAAGAAGAAAGAAATTAAAATAAATTTTGCACGTTAAAAACTTAAAGTAGTAACATCGAAGAAGAGAGAGAGGAGTTAATCAAGTCACGTGCTTCTCTGCCCAATTTGCCTGCTCTCTCCATTTCTTCCTTCACGTGCTTCCCCATTATTCCCCTTCATGTCTCTCTCCTTCTTTCTCTTCTTATTTACATCTTTGCCACTCTAATTTCTTACCATTATTTTTCAAAAATATTGGATTAGTCAAAATAGTATAATCACGTACTTAGATCATCGATTAACAAATCTATCCCTTCCATTCACTACACACTACGAAATTAAAAATGGGCTAGTTGTCATTTCTTATATCATATAAACTTTAAATTATGTAGTTTTGGCCCCAAGAAGCAAAAACTAATATAAGAAAAAGCATATTAGAAGATTAAATCTGATAAGCATCAGTGATATTCTGAACAAGTCAAATGTCAAACAGAATTATATTAGCATCATCACCAGACCACAACACATTTTATTTCATTTTTTTTTGTCTTAATCGCTTTATTAATTAATAATTTACTGTAAATTTGGAACTGTTCTAAAGGTTCGCCAGTTATGATATATATTCCATTACCTGTCAGTTTTAATATTGTTTTCAATTTTGATTTTTGTCGTATTCAAAATATTTAACATATTATTATTCATTTTTTTTCTCCATACATATTATTATTGAAAAATTTAAAAAAATATCATTTTTCAAGTGCTATTTTACAAAAATGTTACTTTTTTACAATTTTTACAAAAATATCACTTTTAAAAAATTATTTATTCATTATATCATTTATGTTTGAGTTAATTATGTTGTATTAGAATTTAGTTTTGAGGGTTTAAGAGGTCAAAAAATTTTTAGGGCAATTACAAAAATGTTACTTTTTGTGTGCACATTTGCAAAAATGCTACTTAGGGGTGTCTATTTACAAAAATATCACTAATTATAGATTTATAAAGTCTATATCTTAAAATTCTAAACCCTAAAAAATATTTTGACACATAAAACCCCCTAAACACTCAAAACTAAACCCTAATAGAACATAATTAACCCAAACATAAATAATATAAAGAAAAAATAATTTTGAAAAGTGGCATTTTTGTAAAGATTTCAAAAGTATGACATTTTTGTAAACTGGCACTTGAAAAGTCGCATTTTTTGAAATTTCTCAAGATTTTTTAAAGTTTAGAATTTTAAGATTTATGTTCTAAAAAATCATAATTAGT